GCTCGCTCTCTTCTTCTGGCTCTACTATAATTTTGATGTTGATACACTTGAAGTTGTCCCAGTGGCTCCTTACACTATCTTTATATTTTTGAATTCTTTTCTCTTTTTGCTTTTTGCTTTTCCAGTTGAGTGTTTTTTGCTTCTTTGTATTTCAAATCTTTGACTTGATTCTTGTGGTCCTCAAGTCCAGTGTTTGCACAACTTCTCTCATGATGAGAATCACCTGGTGGAGTTGTTAAAATACAGATTCCTGAATCCCAATTAAGAAGTGCTAAACTAGAATTTTGGGGAACATATAGGTAAAATTGTATTCTTAGAGCACTAGTTAAGTATACAATTTTACCTATATGTTCCCAAAAATTCTAGTTTAGCACTTCTTAGTTGGGATTCAGGAATCTGTATTTTAACAACTCCACCAGGTGATTCCCATCATGAGAGAAGTTTGGGAAACACTGCTCTAGTCTGCTGTTAGATCTAAGTATAATATTTTTTATTTCAGTCAGTGTATGCTTAATTTCTAATTGGTCCTTTTTCATATCCTTGAGGGTCTCCATTAATTTATGAGTGGTTTCTAGGAAATTCTTGAAAAACCTTATTACCATGTGTATGTTTTTTAATATATTTTATTGAATTTTTTATTTATTTTTTATTTTATTTATTTATTTATTTTACAGATAGGAAGAGAGAGGGATAGAGAGTTAGAAACATCGATGAGAGAGAATCATCACTCAGCTGTCTCTTGCACACTCCCTACTGGGGATATGCCCGCAACCAAGGTACATGCCCTTGACCGGAATCGAACCTGGGACCTTTCAGTCCACAGGCCGGTGCTCTATCCACTGAGCCAAACTGGATTCGGACCTTATTACCATGGTTTTGAGCTCTATATCCAGTCGTTAGCATTCCTCCATTTCTTTTCTTTGTGATTGTTTCTTTGTCTCTGAATTTTGGCTGCTTCCCTGAGTTGGTTTTGTCTGCTAGCTGTCCTATAGGGCCCAGTGACTCAAACTCCCCAGATATCTTAGTTGGACACTCTTGGTGCACTCCTCTGTGGGCTGTGTGCACAGTATTGTTGTAGTTAATTATTGTTGGTATCACTGGAAGGAATTGACTTCCAGGCCAGTTGGCTGTTAGGATCAGCTGTGTCTTTGCTGGGAGAACTTCTGTGCTGGAGACACCCTTATGAGATAAGACTTGCAAAGCCTCTGAGCTCATCTTGGATGGGGAAGAGTTTCAGGGCGGAGCAGTCAGCATTGGTTTCTGCCCTAATAGGCCCCTGTGTCTCAGTGTCCTGTGGTAATCACTGCAAGCACCTCTGAGAGAAAGCCACCTTCAAGTTCCGCCCACTGCCAAACAAGCCAGTTTCTTTCTGAATGAGTCTGGGTCCCCAGAGTCTTGCCCAGAACTGAAGTTCAGTGCAGTCGTGAGCTTTTGTCTCCCTCCTGCTTGAGAAAGCCAGCCACATACTCAGTTGCCATTCCTCTCCGCACACATCTCAGTATCTCTGCCTCCTGCAGCCCCTCTGAGTCTCTGTGCTTTTCTCTTTCGTTCTAATTGTAGAGTTTCCACTCAGCCTGCCTGCCTGTGGTTCTGGATGATGTCCGTTTAGTCTTTTAGTTGTAGTATTGAAATTGTGTAAGGCAGCAGTTTAGGTGTTTCCCTGTGCCGCCATCTTGGTTTCTCCGATCTATTTATATTTTTTGTTATTAAAATTTTTAATGTTGACATTATTACTGGTATAGAACTTCCCCCGCTTTGGCCAACCTCCTCCAACTCCCACTTCTTCCTCATTTAGCCTTAACAAACCTATTGGCCATGTCCATGGGGTATGCATATATGATCTTCAGCTAATCCCTTCCTCTTTAGTATTTTTTAAATTCCATTATGTTTATTTTCACACTGGTCATTCTGATTTCCTTCCCTCCATGAGTTTACACTTACTTTGTTCTTTTTCTAGTTCCTTTAGGTCTGAGATTAGGTGGTTTACTTAAAATTAGATAATTGTATTATAATTGTAATAAAAATACTATCCATGGTGTACACCTCAGATCTCATTGATAGCTGATGCTCTCTACTCGTATTAACATGCTATGGTCATATATAGGAAATGTACATGGCTTTTGGTTGAACTTCAGATTGTCACTTACAAAAAGTTTCATACTACAGAAAAACAAGGATGTGAATTCCATCTTTCTATCACATATTATTACACCAGATTACAGACTTTTTTTTTCATATAACTGAAGAAATGAATATTACCTTTTAGTAAATTGTATGTCATGTTTACTGCTGAAATTGATAACTTTCTTTTTAAGGGACAGACTTGGAAACTGATAAACGGAAGTCATCAAGTAAGCTCGTGCAAATCCAGAGCCCATTGAAATTCCAGAAGCAGGTATATTACTAATTAAGAATGCAATTTATGTGTTTTCTGATTTTCACAATATTATACTTCAATAACCAGAAATAAACAAACATATTATTACATGTGTAGACTCACATATAATGATACTTTGAACATTAGTTCAGACCCCCAAATAAAGGACTGCCTGGCATATAGATAATCAGATAGAGAAACATACTGGTTCAAAGCAAAATTCAATTATAATATATGAAAACATTTTCTTAATTCTGAATGCAAGTAATTGAAACAACAGCTAATAAATCTTGGAATCTCTTAGGATTTCTTCAGATAACGCATTTCAAATAAATATTAGCTATAGAAAATATACTGAGACACTGAAGTATATTATATTACCAGCTTTAATATAATTTGTAAAATTATGGGAGAGTTCTGAATTTAAAAATCGATATATGCTCTTACATAGTGAATTCAAATAAAATATATCAATCGTCAATGATGATCCTTATATTCTCTAGTTGCATTGGAAATAATACAAAGATACTTTAATTTTATAACATAGTTGTCATAAATTATCTTCTTGAGTCACATTTAAACACCTGACCTAAAATCCCATAACTACTAAAATAATGAGGAATCACTCCATACCTGTTCTTAGATTCTGTCAAATTATGAATTCTTCTGGCTCTAATAAACAATTGCATTTTAGTCCTTTCCCCAATGAAGCATCAAGTGATGGAATTATGAAATACCAAGAAATAGACCAGTTTTTATTTTCTCTGATCAGGTAGAGAGGGTGCAGGCGATCACTGATGCTTAAGACAGGTGTGAGTAAGACACCTATGCTAAGGATGCTCACTGTTATCGCTGTCAGATTTAATAGGCTCATGTCCCTTATAGAAATATGGGTAGTATGAGATAAGATCTTGTAATCATATCAAATATGGCACATTGACCACTCAAATTGATAAAAAAAATTTTAAGGGCTTCTCCTGGAAGGTGATCTCCAGGAAATGACTCAGCCAAAGACTGAGGGTGAGGACAGAGATGGGCTTGAAGTAAAGGGGGAGATGTTACTAAATCTAGAACACATTTACATGCCAGAAGCAGATATGTTATTCATCAAGAATGCAATTCATGCATTTTCCAGGGTGATCTCTGATAATTACAAGACCTTCTAAATTTAAAGGAAGCACTTGATTTTCAGGGAAGGAAATTACCCTGAGTTAGTCCTCTGAACTATTTACTCTACATAGCTGAACCATTTAATTAGACTTATTTGCAATAAGAGAAGGTATTAAGATTACATCCAGGAGCTTATTAAATGTGGCTGAAATGGGCTCTGGGAAATATCATGGAGTTTAAAGATAAGCTTTACTAAACAGATAATAAATTACATGACCATCCAAAAATAAACATTAGGAGAAAGGAACAAAGAATTAAACTAAGGAGAAAAGATATGGTAAGTAATATGAATATAAACTTAAGGAAAATGAAAATACATTTAGTAAATAAAAAAGATGGCACTTAGGAATGATTCTTAAGAAGAAATTCCATTAGTTACATAATCTGGAGTAAAAGGAAAGAAGCCTAAGTGTACCCAATAAGGAACATGAACAGCAAACCAACAGATATTGAGTATTTTATAAAATTGAAAGTAAAGATATACTTGAACTCTAAATTAATATTTTCAAAATATGGATGGAATGCTTCATAGAACAAGAAAGCATGTTTTATCTAATATAATCCAGTAACACCTGAATATCTAAAAATAGAAAATATCATGGGAAATTTTCAGAAATTAATTCAGATTGTGCCTGCTAAGCTATTACTTTTAATTAATGACATGGTACTATATACCTGAAAGTTGATGAGTACATATATATCTTAAGCATTCTCAGCACAAAAAATAAAAGTTAACTAGGGAAGTTGAGGGATGGGTTAGTGACATACATTTACCTTAATAATCATACCACAATGCATACATATATAGCCAATCACCATGTTTACTCTTTCAATATATACCATAGTTTTTTTTTAAAGATTCCTTTATAAAGTATTTAGAAAGCAATGAATTTTAGAGACCAAAGTCTTTTTACTTTTGTAAGTATCTTATTCTCTCATTCTTCCTTTTCCTCTGCTTCCTCCTCTCTCTACTCATTCATTCATTATTTGTGTGTGTGTGTTTATGATTGTTTTTCTGTTTTACGGTAAGGCATTATAAAAAGCTTCACATTTTGGTATAAAAAAAATGTTACGTAAAATCCATGTGATTGTAAAAGTGATTATACAAATTGAAACTCATACAGTGTGAAAAAAGCATTATTTATAACTACACTAGGACTACAGATGGAATTGAGGATACGTGGTTATCCTGTTTAAACACTTGCATAAAAGGGTTAAATGAGCCCAAGAAATATTTTTGCTTTTCATGCACCAGAAGGAAGAAGCAAAGGCAGTACAGGCCTTTCTGTTCACTTCACGTAGGCAAGAACAAATGTAACAATACTGTTTAAGCTCTCCTATATTCAGAATAGCATTTCAAATCAAAGCATTTCTTATAAATTTATTTTGTTTCTTAGGGGTTTTCTGTTGGATGGTGTTCAGATTTTTTTAAAAGTTCACACATTTGGGGGCGTATCGTGCAGCCAGGCTCCCTCGCAGCTCGAGGCAGCTGGGCCAGTGGGGTGTGTGCAGACGACCCTCTGCCCTGGAGCCCCTTGGAGGCACCACCATGTACTCGGGAGCCGACCTGGTTCTTGTGCCTCTGGCACCGCCGCTGCCCCCCCTCCAAGGATATGTCTTCAAGCCGCCACCCAGACCCGACTTCGGGACCTTGGGGAGAACCATCAAGTTAAAGGCCAACTTCTTTGAAATGAACGTTCCAAAAATTGACATCTATCACTACCAGTTGGATATCAAGCCAGAGAAATGCCCACGGAGAGTGAACAGGGACATTGTGGAGCACATGGTCCAGCATTTTAAAACTCAGATCTTCGGGGACCGGAAGCCTGCGTTTGATGGGAGGAAGAACCTCTACACGGCCACGCCACTGCCTATTGGGCGGGAGAAGGTGGAGCTGGAGGTCTCGCTGCCAGGCGAAGGGAAAGATCGCATCTTCAAGGTGTCCATCAAGTGGGTGTCCTGCGTGAGCCTGCAGGCATTACATGATGCGCTTGCGGGGCGGCTGCCCAGCATCCCCTTCGAGTCTATCCAGGCCCTGGACGTGGTCATGAGGCACCTGTCATCCATGAGATACACACCTGTGGGCCGCTCCTTCTTCACCCCCTCCGAGGGCTGCTCCAACCCGCTGGGCAGTGGCCGAGAAGTGTGGTTTGGCTTCCATCAGTCTGTCCGCCCTTCTCTTTGGAAGATGATGCTCAATATTGATGTCTCCGCGACGGCATTTTACAAGGCGCAGCCCGTCATCAAGTTTATTTGTGAAGTTTTGGATTTTAAAAGTATTGAAGAACAACAAAAACCTCTGACAGATTCCCAAAGAGTCAAGTTTACCAAAGAAATCAAAGGTCTAAAGGTGGAGATCACACACTGTGGGCAGATAAAAAGGAAGTACCGCGTCTGCAACGTTACCCAGCGACCAGCCAGCAGCCAAACGTTCCCCCTGCAGCAGGAGAACGGGCAGACAGTGGAGTGTACGGTGGCCCAGTACTTCAAGGACCGGTACAAGCTGGTGCTGCGCTACTCCCACCTCCCCTGTTTACACGTTGGCCAGGAGCAGAAACACACTTACCTTCCCCTCGAGGTCTGCAACATCGTGGCGGGACAGAGATGTGTAAGGAAACTGACCGACAATCAGACCTCAGCCATGATAAGAATGACGGCCAGGTCAGCGCCTGATCGGCAGGAAGAGATTAGCAAGCTGATGAGAAGTGTGAACTTTAAGACCGACCCCTACGTCCGGGATTTTGGGATCACAGTCAAGGATGAGATGATCGACTTGACCGGGCGGGTTCTGCAGCCGCCCTCCCTCGTATTCGGGGGCCGGAATAAAGCAATTGCCACGCCTGTGCAGGGTGTCTGGGACATGAGGAACAAGCAGTTCCACACAGGCATTGAGATCAAGGTGTGGGCCATCGCCTGCTTCGCGCCCCCGCGCCAGTGCACTGAGGCCCACCTCAGATCCTTCACAGAGCATCTCAGAAAGATCTCGAGGGACGCGGGGATGCCGATCCAGAGCTATCCGTGCTTCTGCAAGTACTCCCAGGGCGTCGACAGTGTGGAGCCCATATTCCGGCACCTAAAGAACACATACACGGGCCTGCAGCTGGTGGTGGTTATCCTGCCGGGCAAAACCCCCATCTACGCCGAGGTGAAACGCGTGGGGGACACGGTGCTGGGGATGGCCACCCAGTGCGTGCAGATGAAGAATGTGCAGCGGACCACGCCCCAGACGCTGTCCAACCTCTGCCTCAAGATCAACGCCAAGCTGGGGGGCGTGAACAACATCCTGTTGCCGCAGGGCAGGCCGCCTGTATTCCAGCAGCCAGTCATCTTCATGGGGGCTGATGTCACGCACCCTGCTGCAGGGGACGGTAAGAAGCCATCCATCACTGCTGTCGTAGGCAGCATGGACGCTCACCCCAACCGCTACTGCGCCACCGTGCGAGTGCAGCAGCACCGCCAGGAGATCATCCAGGACCTGGCGGCCATGGTGCGTGAGCTGCTCATCCAGTTCTACAAATCCACACGCTTCAAGCCCACGCGCATCATCTTCTACCGCGACGGTGTGTCCGAGGGGCAGTTCCAGCAGGTCCTGCACCACGAGCTGCTGGCCATCCGCCAGGCCTGCATCTCGCTGGAGAAGGACTACCAGCCAGGCATCACATTCATCGTGGTGCAGAAGCGGCACCACGCACGGTTCTTCTGCACAGACAAGAAGGAGCGAGTGGGGAAGAGCGGAAACATTCCAGCAGGCACCACCGTGGACACGAAGATCACCCACCCAACCGAGTTCGACTTCTACCTGTGCAGTCACACTGGCATCCAGGGAATAAGCAGGCCTTCCCACTACCACGTGCTTTGGGATGACAATTGTTTCTCTTCCGATGAGCTGCAGATCCTCACCTACCAGCTATGTCACACCTACGTGCGCTGCACGCGCGCTGTGTCTATCCCAGCGCCAGCATACTACGCTCACCTGGTGGCCTACCGGGCCAGGTACCACCTGGTGGATAAAGAACATGACAGTGCTGAAGGAAGCCATACCTCCGGGCAGAATGATGGGCAGGACCACCAGGCGCTGGCCAAGGCAGTCCAGGTCCACCAGGACACGCAGCGCACCATGTACTTTGCTTAACATGTTGTGTTTACAACTGTGTGCGGAGTCGGATTCACACAAGACCAGTGACACTCAGACCAACCGACGCCAGCCCCAGGGCAGCCAGCACTGGACCACAGACATCGTAGACTCAGCCGAGGCTGATCCTCCACTCTCTCAGAATGCCTTCCATCCTGGATTTCACACTGGTTCTGAGCTGCAGATCTGTATAAGACCTCACTGTCGCAGGACACATGGTTTGCCAAAATCTATCTGCTGCTCATTAAATAGTCACATGTTTCCTAAAAAAAGGTTTACACATTTTTTGATTACTATTTAAAACCACCTTTTCATAGGTTCATTTCATTTCCTGTGCTAGGAACTGGAACAGTCTTTTTGTTTCTAAGTTCCAGTAGAAAAAGTGTTTAGTCAACATTGGTAAAATGTATGCATGGAAGTCTGTCTTATAAAACCTAAACTTTGTCCTTTGTGTACCTTTAATGTCATCTAAATGTAATGAGACTAAGGAATGTTCCCACCAGTTCTGTTTCCTTGCAGGGTAAGGAAACCACCCGTTGAAAGGAAGATGATCTCAAGACACACAGATTATTCTTATGGTGGATACTATAATACACTGTTAAAGTTCTCTCATTAAAGTATTGCAGGATTATCTTGCAAATCTTTAGTGAAACATATTCCAAACACTTGATGCTGTTGAAAATTACTTCGTTTCCTGATGTTTATACTACAATTGAGCTTTCTTATGGAGATAGAGTTGTACATTGGTATTCTCTCCAGAAACCTTGTTATATATGACTAGAGAAATTCATGAACTCAGGGGTGGGTCCCTCAGCATGGCCTGTGCACTCTCACAGTCCGTTAGCCCTTGGGGGATATCCAACTGAGCTGGCATTTGGACATCCTTTTTGCTGCCATGGAGGTGGGAGAGGCTCCTACCACCACTTCTGCACTCCCCAGCTGTGAGCCCGGCTTGTGCCTCAGTGGCACTCCCCCTGGGGGAGTGCACTGACTACCAGAGGAAGCTCATATGTTGAGTGTCTTCCCCCTGGTGGTCAGTAAACATCATAGTGACTGGTCATTCTGCAGTTGGGTTGATTTCCATATTAGCCTTTTATTATATAGGATTGTTGTTTCCAAATGGCTTTTCTAGATAGATTCTAAGTTGCACTGTTTACAATCCATTTCTGAATGCTAAGAAATGTTTTACTGTGGTTTTAAAAATTATGCTTGTTGGTCAGTTTGCTCATTGGTTAGAGTGTCAGCCCTCAAACTTATGGGACTTGGGAATTAATTCCCTGTCAAGAGTATAATAGTTACCAGATTGCAGGTTCTATCCCCTTCCCCAGTCTGGTCATGTGTGGGAGGCAGTCAATCAATGCGTCTATCACATAAGGCTATTTTTTCCTCTCTCTCCTTCCTCTCTTCCCTCCCCTCCTCCCCCCCTCCATCTCTCTTTTTCTTTCCTTCCCTCCCTCCTTCTCTCCCTTCTCCCTTATCCTCCTTCCACTGTCTCTAAAAAAATAATGGATAGAATATCCTCAGGTGAGAATTTTTTTAAATATGCATTTATTTCCTTCTCTCATTTTATAGCAACAGATTGAGCCACGCAATAAAATGTTAATAGAATTGGGATTCGTTTGCCAAACTTGTCTTATTCCTAATAGGAAATAGGAAATTTTTAACATTTCACCATGTTCACTGTGGAGTAAAGGAGCTTCCATTCCCATCTCAGTCTGTTAAGAATTTTTGAATATATGTTGACCTCTATCAGAAATTTGTGTATTTGTTGAAGTGATCATAGGATTACTACTTCCATTAATCTGTTAATATGGTGAGTTACATATTTAAGTTCCTATGGTTAATAAAATCTTGTATTACTTCAAAGGAAGAGTGCTTGGTCATGTTATTTTATTCATGTGAATAATCTCTGTCTTGATACTTTGTTTAGGTTGTTTATGAATGACCACGTGAGCGACATTAGCCCATATTTTATTTGATGTACACTAACTGCATGAAAGGAATTGATAGGTAAAAACTCTTCTTCTGTTCCATGAAACACAGTTCTCCACAAGGCGAGGAGAAATGCAGCAATAGGCTTTGTCATGATTGGCTCTATCTGGGCAGCATCTCAGACTTTTAGTATCAGAGCCTACTTTCAGGGGAGAGGCAGAAGGGGATGGTTCGGGTGCCCATCTCATCCACCTTTGTATTAGGTCTAGTAATAATTAATGTCGTTTTCTAATACCTTTTTTAAATCGAATTTATTTAAACAATACAACAAAATTTAATCAACAATATAGTTGCCGTTGTTTTCTACTACTTGTGCCCAACGCTCAGGAAGCATTTTAATCCCTCTGTTGTAAAATTCTTGTGATTTTGATGCAAAAAATTCGGTCAATGCATTTTTGAGGCATTCTTCATTATTAAATTTTTTTCCAAGAAGAAAGTTTTGCAAAGAATGAAACAAATGGTAATCGGAAGGGGCAATATCAGGAGAATATGCAGGTTGAGGGAGAACTTCCCATTCCAACTGGCGCAGTTTTTCAGCAGTGATTCTTGCAGTATGCGGTCGTGCGTTATCGTGGTGAAGAATTACGCCCTTCCGATTAATCAGCGTGGGTTCTTTTTCTCTTAAAGCTTGGGCTAACCTTTCCAATTGGGCACTATACACTGCACTTGTAATGGTTTGGTTAGATGGTAAAAGTTCATAATGAAGAATTCCTTTAAAATTCCACCAAACACACAACATCACTTTTTTCGCATGCAAGTCAGGTTTTGGCATGGGCTGCGGAGCCTCATTTTTGTCCAACCATTGAGGCCGCCTTTTCAAATTAACATACAGCACCCATTCTTCATTTCCGGTAACAATTTGCTCTAAAAACGGCAAACGGTTTTGACGAGAGAGGAGCGAACTGCAAATTGTGACTCTTTGATTACGGTTGTTGTCGGTCAACTCATGAGGAACCCATTTTCCAAACTTTTGGACTTTGCCAAGTGCACGCAATTGATTGGAAATTGTTTTTTGTGAACAATTTAAAGTTGTCGCAAGCTCTTGTTGGGTAATTTGAGGATTTTGCACCAAAAGAGCTTGAAGAGCTTCTTGATCAAAATTGGACACACGGCCTCGACCACTCTTGTCATCTAACGAAAAATTTCCCTCGCGAAATTTCTCAAACCAACGCTGGCATTTTCTGGCGCTAACTGCATCTTGACCAAGAGCACTACAGATGTTTTTTGCAGCCTCACTTGCTTTTCTTCCTAATTGGAACTCGTAAAGCATGCAGTGCCGAATACGCTCTTCATCCGCCATCTTCTTAGCCCTAGTTTTGCAACAAAAACCAAACCAAACACAAACTTTTTCAAGCAAAACTTGTTAATTGCACTTCACACGTTCTGTAGATACCACGTGTTTGAAGGTTATGTCAATACAAGTCAACGCCAAGCAAGATTTTAAACGAATGTTTTAAAACGACATTAATTATTACTAGACCCGATAGAATGCACATCTTCCCTGTGAGATATCTCTCTAATGATGCAATCGTTCAAAAGGATACCTGCTCTAGGTTCTATGCTGATACCAAACTTACACACCCAGTAAAGTAAAAGTTGTGGCTCACTATGTACTTATAACAATAGCACCATTTATTGAGATTTCTCATAATGGGAACAATCAGTCGCATTTATAGAATATATCATATCCATTCCTACTTTGCTAAGCTGGGTTCCATACATGTATCACCTAATTTAATCCTCACAATTAAGGTGGAACAGGTTGTACACAAAACTTGTCATTGAATCCCATTCACAGCAGACTTGGGGATTCAAGTTCTGAGTTAGAAATCCTTGTTTCCCAATGTAAAACCTTAAAAAAGTGTTGTACAAAGGAAAATGGGTGTTGTACATGATGAGTAGTGACAGGCAGTAAGTGTTCTTTCCTTAGCAAGTTGTGGGTCTGATGATTGGGAAGTAGAGTACAGGATGCAGTACTGTTGCACAGCAAGTGACAGAGAACTGAGCCTAAATTGTAGCACTGTTATCTAAGGGTATTGGTAAACCATACACTGACCGAGTGACCACCGGTATGTTCAGAGAAACGGTTACCATCTGGAGATGTATGCATGGTAACACAAGCAAAGAATTTAAAAAAACAAGGGTGAATGTATGTAATTTATGGAAGTGAGTGAATTCGTTGTGTGCATGACACAAATCCCAGATTCAGAAGGCAGTGATTCGTCAAAGTATACGTGTAAACAGGGTATTAAAATATATTTGGTCATGGTCATATTTTTGAGATACATTTTCCATGAAGATTAAACTTAATGTGTCTACCCACAAAGTATCTGAAAGCATAAGAATAATTAAGGGTAGGGAAAAACCACAGTTCAATCCCGCTTTCTTGTCCAGGTCTGACCTAGTGATTTCAGTGTTCTGTGGCCTTGGAAGGAAAACCTCAACTCCTGTCCCAGGAATTCAAGTCGCATATGCCCCTTAGCTAGCTGCGCATGCCCCTAGCTAGCTGAACATGCCCTTAGCTAGCTGCGCATGCCCCTCACCAGCTGCACATGTTCCTCGCCAGCTGCACATGCCCTTCGCCAGCTACGCTTGCCCCTCGCCATCTTCGCTTGGCCCTAGCCTAAGGTGACCAGATTTTAACATTGGTAAAGCGGGACACCATTGACGGATTCTTGATTAAAAAATTGGTCTATATGGAGCAACAAAAATATTCATAGAACACAAAAATAGTATTGTAATATATTTTTAAAATTTTCAACATAAGTACAATTTACAAATATAATAAATTTAAAAAATTATGTATAGTCATAAGTGTCACTTTCAAGGCCGGCGCTAGACTTTTTGCTGCCACTATAAAATATAAATAATATGAGTACTGTCTGCTAAATTAAAGAAAATTTATGTATTTATGAAATAAATGAATTACCTAAATTATCTGAATAGCTGATTTGTAATGACATCACTTGTTTAGCTTACTAGCATGCAGTACAATGTGTGTGTATCGTCTGAGAGACAGTAACAAAATGTTTTCATCG